CTTTTGTGATTAAAGCAGGCCATAGACGTGGGGAAAATCGGCGGGTTTTTTTTGTTTTTTTTTTAAGTCGTAAATCGGTCGTTCAGACGGCCGACGTTGCCACTAATTAAAAAAAAAAAGTCGTCGGGTTTTAGTCCCATCTATGGCCGTCAATTAATATAATAGCGGTGTCCCTGCATAGAGACCCGCTATTATATTTGACAGAAGAAATACATTATGCAGAAGAAGAAGAGAAACAACATTGTACCTATTTTTACTTGAATAGAAACATCTGTATCCGAAATGCATACAAATAGATACAATGTTGCAACTTTTTTTCTTCATCTTCTGCAAAATCTATGTCCTCTTCTCCTCTTTTCTTCTATTCTTCTTCTTGATATTCTATTTCTTCTTCTCCTACAAAATCTATTTCTTTTTCTTCATAGTCAATTTATTGTCAAATCAGCGGATCCAACATCGTCCCAGGATTTTCCAGCTTGGACGATTTTCAAAATCTCTTAAAATCAAGAAAAACGGCCAATATTTTTCCCCACTAACTGTACGAATATCGGCCGATAATTCGGCAAAAAATTGGAAATCTATGGCCACCTTAACCCTCACGGAGGGTGTCAATGACTGTCTTCTGGACAACTGTCAAGTCAGCAGTCTTCCCCATGATTGTGTAACCTACTGAACCAGACTGAGAGACCATTTAAAGGCTTGGAAACCTTTACGGGTGTTTTGAGTTAATGAGTTTTGTATCTACCATATTAACCTTTTTTTCACAATATTCTAATTTTCTGAGATACTGAATTTTAGGTTTTCACTAGCTGTAAGCCATAATCCTCAAAATTAAAATAATTAAATGCTTGAAATATCAATCTGTGTGTAATGAATCTATATAAATAATAATAATTTCAGTTTTTGAATTGAATTACTGAAATAAATTAACTTTGATACTCTAATTTATTGAGATGCACCTGTATATTTTAACCTTTAAGCATGTGGTCATCAAAGTCGTCCTCCAATATGTTCATTATAGACCAAGCACCTTTTAAAGCTTTTGTTTATTTTACATGGAACCAAAAAATAATTTGTTTATATTTTTCTGTAATTTTTTTTTTTTAAACAAACTTTTGGTTTTATTATTTATTTTGGATATGCACGATGATATATGGTGATCAACTCAGGCAACCCAAAATCCTGAGGACTAATGGTATTTTAACAGGGCTGGGTACATTACATAGAGACATTCCATCATGCTTGCTGTCTATTTGTTATCTTACCCTTCCCACTCCTTTTGGGCCTCACATTATGTCACTTCTTGTTTTCATTTAAAGCTCATATCTCTTATCTGCTTATTCCTCAAACAAGAAATAAGCTGTAGTTCTTGTCTTGAACACACTAGTTATCTCTGGCTGGACAAGACACTAATCTCTATGCTTTTTTTTTTTTTTTTTATAGATTAGCTGTTGTCATGAATGTAGCAACAAGACTGGTGCAACACCTATTCTTCTACTCCACCGTATTGGTTCCATCCTTCCTTGATTGTTCCATGTAAAATCAAACTTAATGCTTCATTTCATCTTATAAAAAAGCCATCAACAAAGCAATAATGCTGTTATTTCTAAACACTCATCTATTTTAACCTTTTGTCCTTCATAGGAAGTGCTGCCTCTTCCTATGTAATTTGGTTTTTTCTCACCAACCAGATCCTAGAATGTTTCTCAGTTGCATCTCTGCTGTAATATACTTTAATTTCTGATGCAAAAAATAACCCTCAAGTCTTTAAAGTCTGTAAAAGTTAGAGCTACTAGACGTTATCTGTGTAACTTCCACCAAATATAATCAACATACCAAGATTTTGCATACGCCTTGGCAAAAAATATGAAGCTGCCACTTGTTTGGTATTCGGTAAATTGTATGTAAAGCCAAACTTTTTTTTTTTTTTTTTGCTTTGGATAAGAGTATTGAAGTGTTAAAAACCCCGGATTTCATTACTGTCTGTCTCCATTGAGAAGATGCATCCTCTCTATTTGTCATGTGACCACTGACTCCTATATAAAAAATGATGGGGAATCTTTCAGTGGAGACATCTTTTTTTAGTGATAACTTTCTAAGGTAATTTCACATCACTTTGGAGCGATTTGCTTTTACTTCTTGTTGTACCTCTGGGACAGGCAGTAAAGGGAGATCACCTTGACAGGACAGAAAAAAAAAAAACTGACGGGAGTTCTTATCCATCCCCCTACTTTATTTAAAAGTAAAAAACAAAGTTTGGGTTTTACATAGATCTTATCAAATCTGTCTTACTAATTTTTCCCTTCCGTAGATTGTACTCTGTTGTGAACTAGGACTTTACTGCTTAGCCTGTATTACATGGTTATTGTTTATAAGTGTTAAATCATATTGTCATATTGAATTGTGTGTTAATATATTTATGCAATGCTGTGCAAAATGGTGGCACTTAAAAACGACTTGAATGCTAAAAACACTTAAAGGATAAGACTCATGAAATTTTTATGGACTTTTCTTTACTATGAGGGCCCATGCACACCATATATGTTTTAGCTGTGCTGGGCAGCCTTGCCTAACGCAGTCCCAACACATGGACAAGGCAAACTGGATTGAGAGAGCAATGTTCTGCTTTAAACTTCTTATAGGTATTACTGGACAATTTATAAAGGCTATCAATTTTAGATGCTTATGGCATTATTTCAATTTAAAACCCATCACCCTGCTCCAGTTTTACCTTTAAAATCTTAGAATGCTTAGTCTACAATCGTCTGAGCTCCTACCTCACTGACAGCAACCTTCTTGATCTTTTCCAGTCTGGCTTTTGCTCACTACACTCCACTGAATCTGCCCTACTAAAACTCACTAATGATTTACTAACTGCTAAAACCAATCGCCAGTACTCCGTACTCTTACTACTTGACCTCTCTGCGGTGTTTGATACTGTTGACCATCCCCTCCTCCTCAAAAAGTTAAACTCTCTTGGCCTCCGAGACTCTGCTCTCTCCTGGTTCTCCTACCTATCGCAGCTCTCCTTTAGCGTTACGTATAACTCTGTTTCCTCCTCTCCACTTCCTCTTTCTGTAGGGGTCCCTCAAGGTTCTGTCCTTGGACCCCTTCTCTTCTCCATCTACACCTCCTCCTTTGGGCACTTGATAAACTCCATGGCTTTAAGTACCATCTCTATGCTGATGACACACAAATCTATCTTTCTACTCCTCACTCCTCACCCTACCCCTTCAGTCTCCTCTCGCATTACTAAACTACTAAAGTGACATATCAGCATGGATGTCACTCCACTTCCTCAAATGAAATCTTTCTAAAACAGAGCTCATACTATTCCCTCCAGCCCATGACCCCTCCCCTGACTTCTCCATCAAGATCAATAATACAACCATCAGTCCCTCTCCTCATGCCAGGATACTAGGTGTAATCCTGGACTTCCATTTGTCCTTTCTTCCCCAAATCCAATCACTGTCCAAATCTTGTAGACTTCACCTCCACAACATCTCCAAGATATGCCCTTTTTTAACCTCTGAAACCACTAAGCAACTTATTCACTCCCTTGTTATCTCGACTTGAATATTGTAACTCCCTCCTCATTGGCCTACCTCATCGCAGGCCATACCCTCTTCAGTCTATCAGGAATGCTGCTGCCAGACTCATCCACCTTACTAACCGTTCCATATTTGCCATCCCTCTCTTCCAATCCCTCCACTGGCTTCCCATAGCCCAACGAATAAAATTCAAAACATTAACAATAACATATAAAGGTATTTATAACTCTGGGCCAAATTGCATCACCAATCTTGTCTCCAAATATCTCCCAAACTGTACTCTCCGCTCCTCCCATGACCTCCTGCTCTCTAGCTCCCTTGTCTCCTCCCATGCTTGTCTCCAGGAATTCTTCAGAGCCTCTCCCATCCTCTGGAACTCTCTACCCCAATCTATCCAACTGTTGCCTACTGTACCCACTTTTAGGCAATCTCTGAAAACCTATCTCCTCAGGGAAGTCTATCCTGCCTTCAGCTAATAACAGAATCTTCTATTCCTCCTATCAGTTCATCTCCCACAGTTATTACTTTTTGTACCACCAGCCCCTCCCTCTTAGATTGTAAGCTCCAAAGAGCAGGGCCCTCATAACCCTCTTGTATTGAATTGTATTCTTGCTGTATTGTCTCCCTTTATATTGTACAGCACTGCGCAAACTGTTGGCGCTATATAAATCCTGTATAATAATCAATTCATTGACAGGTGCATTTGACCTGCAGTTGTCTTCCTTCTGACCTGCTTTCAAATACACTTGTACAGGAATGCAAAACACGTTTGAAGAGAACAAAAGCCCATTGTCACAGACCCTAAAATGTTAGTCATATTGGTATTTTATTACTTATTTAAAGTGTTACTAAACCCACAACAGTAAAATCAGTCTGTATATGCAGTAAAGCATGCTTGTTATACTCACTGTGGAACCTAAGGGTTTAATCCTCTGCATTGTGTAAAAACGCTGTTTGATCCTGACTTCTCTGATCCTCACATTCTTCCAGTGCACCCCTTATCTCCTGATAAGACATATCGTGTGGAGACACTCTGCACATGCTCAGTTTAGTGTGTGTATTGCTAGAGAGGGTTTTTTTTTTTTTTGCTGCTAGAGAGTGCATGTGATCAGCACAGGGCCAATCAGCACTGTCCAGACAGAGGTCAGGGGTTTTGCATCCTCCTAGAGCAGAAAGAAAACTCCTCCTACAAGCTTTAACTTGTGCTCTGCTGGACACTGATAGAAGTCACAAGACTGTAAATGCTGATGAGAAAAGGTATTTAGCAGTTTATATTTAATAAAATAATTGCATTTCAATGTAGTATGTACTTTGGGAGACAGAGTGAGTGCAGTGTCCTGAGTTTAGTAACACTTTAAGATATAGAGAATAATTTATTCCTCAGCATAGAAGAATTGTGCCCCCTATGTAACATTTTTAAATTTGTGTTTCTTTTTCTTACAGGACATCATGGCAGGAGCTGGTGAGAAGAAAGGCAGGAAGGATGACAATGGCATTGGGACTGCCATAGACTTTGTCTTATCCAATGCCCGTCTGGTTCTTGGAGTGGGAGGAGCAGCTGCGATGCTGGGGATAGCTACTCTTGCAGTGAAGCGAGTATGTTGAGATGTTGATTGTTCACCTTATTGGTATTTAAAGTAATATTAAACCAAAATGTAATCTATTGCATCTTAGCAATCATTAGATGTGGTGGCTGCAGTTTTTTTTTTTTAGGCTTTTCCCCCCCCCTCTGTTTTCTCTTGGTGATTTTTGCCAGTAACACACCTCCTGTATTATAGTGTCTCCACTCTGGATGAAGGCGTACATGGGCCTCTTTGGACAGCAGTATCGCTGATCTGGAGGAAGGGGAGTGTTTGATGTATTGACAGATTTTGAAGCTGAACTCCAGCTCAGACTTTATAAGCAGTTACATCAGTTTTTTTTCATTTTGTTATAAAGGTTTTACATAAATTATTATTATACAGGATTTATTTAGTGCCAACAGTTTGTTCAGTGCTTTACAATATAACAGGAGACAATACAGCAACAATACAGTTCAATACAAGAGGGCTAGTGGTACAAAAGGTAGTAATGGTGGGGGATGGAAAGGTAGGAAGAGTAGAAGATTCCATTAGCAGCTGAGGGTAGGATAGGCTTCCCTGAAGAGAGAGGTTTTCAGAGATCGCCTAAAAGTGAGCAGAGTAGTCGATAGTCTGATAAATTGGGGTAGAGAGTTCCAGAGGATAGGGGAAGCTCCAGAGACGAGCTTGGGAGGAGGAGACAAGGGAGCTAGAGAGCAGGAGGTCGTGCGAGGAGCAGAGAGTACGGTTTGGGTGATATTTGGAGACAAGATTGGTGATGTAATTTGGGGCAGAGTTATAAATGGCTTTATATGTTATTGTTAATGTTTTGAATTTTATCCGTTGGGCAATGGGAAGCCAGTGGAGGGATTGGCAGAGAGGGGTGGCTGATACAGAACGGTTAGTAAGGTGGATGAGTCAGGCAGCAGCATTCATGATAGACTGAAGCGGGGATAGCCTGCGATTAGGTAGGCCAATGAGGAGGGAGTTAAAATAGTCAAGGCAAGAGATGACCAGGGAGTGAATAAGTTGCTTAGTGGTTTCTGAGGTTAAGAACGGGTGCATCTTGGAGATGTTGCGGAGGTGAAGTCTACAAGATTTGGACAGCGATTGGATTTGGGGCTGAAAGGACAGATGGGAGTCCAGGATTACACCTAGTACCCTGGCATGAGGGGAGGAACTGATGGTTGTGTATTGATCTTGATGGAGAAGTCAGGGGAGGGTGCAAGGGCTGGAGGGCATACGAAGAGCTCAGTTTTGGAAAGATTGAGTTTGAGGAAGTGACATCCATGCCGATATGTCGCATAGTAGGTTAGTAATGCGAGAGGAGACTGAAGGGGTGAGGTGAGGGGTGGAAAGATAGATTTGTGTGTCATCAGCATAGAGATGGTGCTTAAAGCCTTAAATAAAATCTGACCCTTGTAAGCCACCCCTGCCAGTAGTAAATGGTTTGTCTCAGCCCTCTAACTGCTTCTTCTGCAGAACAGCTTGTTCTGCAGAAAAACAGACTTACTCGTTATCTCTTAGATTGTAAGCTCTGACAAGCAGGGCCATCTACTTCCTCTTGTAACAAATTGTATTGTAACTGTAATGTCTATTCATTTTCATTTTGTAAAGCGTTGTGCAAACTGTTGGCGCTATATAAATCCTGTATTATAATAATAATATCACCAAGTGGAAATAAAGTCTAAAAAAGAAAACTAATGCAGCTATCACAACTAAGAAATGATGAGCTGCAATATAATAACTGTTTGATTTAGGGTTTAATACTGCTTTAATACTGGATGGCCACTGTACAGGTGTATCTCAATAAATTAGAACATCATCAAAAAGTTTATATGAATTTCAGTTTTTGAATTGAATTACTGAAATAAATTCTCTATAGATTCATTACACACAGAGTGTGCATTCCTTTCTTTTAATGTTGATGATTATGGCTTACAGCTAGTGAAAACACAAAATTCAGTGTCTCAGAAAATTAGACTATTGTGAAAAAGGTCAATATGGTAGGCTCATGGTGTCACATTCTAATCAGCTAATTAACTCAAAACACCTGTAAAGGTTTCCTGAGCCTTTAAATGGTCTCCCAGTCTAGTTCAGTAGGTTATATAATCATGGGGAAAACTGCTGACTTGACAGTTGTCCAGAAGACAATAATTGACAACCTCCACAAAAATGGTAAGTCGCAAAAGGTCATTGCTAAAGAAGCTGGCTGTTCACAGAGTGCTGTATCCAAGCATATTAATTGTAAGTTGAGTGGAAGGAAAAAGTGTGGTAGAAAAAGGTGCACAAGCAACAGGGATAACCGCAGCCTTGAGAGGATTGTGAAGCAAAGGCTATTCAAGAATTTGGGGGAGATTCACAAGGAGTGGATTACGGCCAGTGTCAGTGCTTCAAGAGCCACCACACACAGACATATCCAAGACAAGGGCTGCAACTGTCGCATTCCTTGTGTAAAGCTTTACCTGGGCTAAGTAGAAAAAGGACTGGACTGTTGCCCAGTGGTCCAAAGTCCTCTTTTCCGATGAAAGTAAATTTTACATTTCATTTGTAAATCAAGGTCCCAGAGTCTGGCAGAAGAATGGAGAGGCACAGAATCCAAGAGTGCATACTATATTGTACATGGACATACTTTTCAGTAAGCCAATATTTCTGTATTACAAATCCTTTTTTATTTATTTATTTATTTATTTTTTTATTGGTCTTGTGTAATCTAGTTTTCTGAGTTACTGAATTTTGGGCTTTCATTGGTTATAAGCCATAATCATCAAATTAAAAGAAGGAAACGCTTGAAATATATCACTCTGTGTGTAATGAATCTATATAATATAAGAATTTCACATTTTGATTAGAATTACTGAAATAGTTTAACTTTTTGATTATATTCTAATTTATTGAGATGCACCTGTATATTTGTGTTTTTTATTAACCTAATTGGTATCATTACCTTCTAGAGGCTCATTGGCATTTCTGTGCTTAAATTTGCATTTTTAACCAGTTTCCGCCCAGCCAATAGCAAACAAAGGCGGCCGGGCGAGCAGCTCGTCCCTCCGGGTGGATGCCATATGGCTTCCTTTTCAGGCATGTGCAGTTTGCCTGCCCGTAGGGCTGCTCTGCGGCACGATCTGTCACCGGCCATGTACCTCGGACACGGCCGATAACAGATCTGTGTACCGGCCCCATAACCAGTACCATGTGACCTGCTGTGACCAATCACAGCAGGTCACATGACATTGTATACAATGGATGGCTTCCTTTCTTGCCATCCATTCTATACTAGTGTGTCTAGCTGTGAATGGTCACAGCGTTCACATGCACAAGCTGGGCCAATGACAGCCCAGCTGTGTCATGTGATTAGCCGTGGCCAAATCACAGCTAAGCACAAAAAAAAACCCTGAATGAATCGATGTAATTCAAGTAAATGCTTGCTTATAGCAAAGTAATTCTTTGCTGTAAACAAATTGTGTAAAAAAAAAAAAAAAAAAAAAAATACTGATCACTTCCCCAACTATTGTTACTATGGTAACATTGCACTACTTTGGTCATAGTGAAATATGAAAAAAAAATCTTAGAGAAAGAAATGTAATAAAAAATTAAAACTAATAAAATTTAAAAAATATTTTTTTTTTCGTACTGTCACCAGTCAGTGTCCCTGATCACCGCCATGCCAGTTATATGATGACGCTGTACTGCACTGGTGACAGTATGTAAAAAAAAAAAAAAAAAATTGTGAAAATACTTTTTTACATTTTTTTTTATTTTCCGAAAATTATGACAAAAAAATTGCAACTTCAAAAAACTCGCCATGCCTCTTATGAAATACATCGGACTGTCTACTTTGCAAAAAGGGGTCATTTGGGGCATATCTGTACTGTTCTGACATTCTTGGACCTCAAGAAATTAGATTGGCCGTCAGTACTTCAGGATTGATCAATATTCAGATATATACCATACTTTGTGAACTCTATAACTTTCCTACAAACTAAAAAATACATCCTAATTTGGGTTATTTTCACCAAAGATATGAATTAGAATACATATTGGCCTAAATTTATGAAGAACAATTTTTTATTTGCAAACTTTTATAACAGAAACAAAGAAAAATTTGTTGTTTTTTTTTTCTAAATTTTCGGTCTTCTTTTGTTAATTTAGCAAAAAATAAAAACCCCAGTGTTGCTTAAATACCACCAAAGGAAAAGCTCTAGTTGTGTGAAGAAAATGATAACATTTTAGTTTGGGTACAATGTTGTATGTTCGTGCAATTGTCATTCAAAGTGTGAGAGCGCTGAAACCTGAAAAATGACCTGGGCAGGAAGGGGTAAAAGTGCCCTGTATGGAAGCGGTTAAAGAGAAATTGGAGCACATTTTACCATTTCTTGTAGTTTTGTTCACATTTTAGTGCATTATAACATGCAGTTTCGAGGAAAACAGGTCACACATTGAAGTACATATAAATCACACAGTGGTTTTATATGCTGTGCAATAAAATTACAAGTAAATTACTAAAACATTTTCAGTAATAGGACTGCAGCAGCACCCAAAGATATAAATTGTACCATCGACAACCGAACTGCAAAACAATTTTATGAAACCTATGTGCAAACAATGTTCTCTAGAGACCGTTACTCAATTAAAAATTAATTACATTTATTTCGCCATTCCAAAATTGCAATGCCTTGGATTATCCTCCTCAGACCACTGTTTCAAAGGCTGCCCAGTGAGTGCAGACTTCTTTCATGTTTTCTATCAATGCTAATATAGAGCTGAAAACTGGCACAAAATAATGGATTTTATTGCTGACTCCTTTTGGTTTCTTCAATATGTTTAACCCACAGGTTTGTCTACTTGGTCTGCTAATGGAGCTGATATTAACTGTTTGCAAAAAATAAACTCCATACTTGCTTTGTAAAATTTACGTAAAAAAATAGGGGTCATTCAAGTGTATTTGATAAAATCTAGGGCCCATGAATTGCCCCTTCATATATGGTCCCTACTTTGCCCCGGAATTCTACATGTTGATTCTAGAGGTGACTATTTCTCGGCTCCCTAGACAGAAACAAGCAATTAACCCATGCAGTGCAGGTGTGTATAACAGTATAATAATTAAAATGTTTATGTTAATTCTAATTCCAGCATCAGGGTTTTAAAAATGCATTGAAAATAAAGTAACTACCCTGCTAATGCATATTCTGTGTCCACATTAGTTCTATTAACTTGTATGTGTGTTTTTTTTTTAGATGTATGATCGTGCTATCAGTGCTCCTGCCAGTCCTTCCCGTTCCAGTCAGTCTGGTAAAAGAAGCTGGGAAGAGCCAAGTTGGTTGGGCTCATCTACACGACTGTTGAACCAAGACATGAAGACGTCCATGAGTCGCAGTTTGCAGACCCTACCAACAGACAATTCAGTATTTGAACCAGGTAAAGGCTTCTTTACTAGGTTTCAGGCTAATAGTCATTTAGAACAATTTGTATAGCTAATTAAAAGGCTTTGAAAAAACGAGGCCGTGAAATGCAGTTTCTAATAGACCATTTTAAGATTTTTTTAGTACCTTTTTGTTTAATTTATCTTGCCATTCCAAAGTGGACATTTTCATGCTTGCCATCATGTTCCTTTTTTCATGAAACACACAGAAATAGGTGCAAATTACCCTTACAGCATCCTTAAAAGACAATGATGCTTGTTGTCAGGACAAAATTTATACTGTAGTTTATTCCTAGCTCAAATGGAATTTTGAGGCCCTAGGTAATAAACACCTGAAAACTACATGATCAGCAATGGAGAGGAAAGTCTTTTTTTTTTTTTTGCCTTGAGTCCATGACTCGGATATGGACTCTGATACAGTATGTAAAGATCTCTGATGTATTGGTGATGCAGTGTTTGAGTGCCATAGGACATCTGACAGTAACTGAACAAGAGAACCAGATTCAGCATCTTATAGAAAAAAGTTTGAGCCCCTTGTAATGTTGGGCTCAGATGTTGTGGCTGCAGTTTGCAGTATGATGGCTGCTCGATTCCCCTATGTTTGTGTATTAAAGTGACACTAATTGATATACGTTTTCTCAAAAAATAATCTATATGCATCAACTACTTAATGGCTCTGTAATCTATTTTTCATGAAAGTGTTTCTTACTGTGTTTTTCTGCCTCTTTGTAACCTCCTACATGAGCCTCTTTTTCCCCTTCCATTTGTTTGGAACTAGCAGCGCATGTTAATTGCGCTCATATACACTGCTCTATGTACACTATAAACGTCCGTAGTTCACAGTCCATAATCCCTAGTTCATCTCAGGAGCAAGCAAGGGAGGGTGGCATTGTTCCTACATACAGTGGGAACATGGATAACAAACATAGCCACCCTCTAACAGGAAGTTGGATCACAGCAGCAGAAAAAAGGAATTTGGAGATTTAGAGAAGGCGTTGAGCAATGGAAGGTCATTTTTGAGCTTAGAATAAATACCTTGATAGATTTTTTTTTTTTTTTTTTTTTTTTTTTTTTTTTTATCAGAGTTTTTAGTGTTTTGTCCGCATTTGCCAAAAGGACAGGCAACCTATTTTGGATCACGCAGCATCCAAAGCATGGAGTTGCATCACAAATGTGGGAGTGATAATGTGATGAAAAACTGGATGAGTTAGCTCTGTTAAATGCTCTGCTTGTTTGTGCCTGTGTCAGATCTAATTACTGTTTAGCTCTCCCCTGCACTGCTGAGAGAGGCCCAGGTATTGTTAGATGTATAATTTCTTTACAGTAAGTATCATGTCTGAACACAAACAGAAAATTCTGACACAGAAATATGAATATGAAGCAGCAGGGATTTCAAATCCCTAGGACTGGTGAAGTGGTATGTCATGTCTGACAGAGCAGGATTGTGGCACTCTGGTACAGTGGAGCCAGGGGGGATGGGGAGGGAGGTCCAGTGTAAAGTTACCTTACATATTTTCTGTAAAGATGAACTTGCACTTTAGTATATATGAGACTTCCATAGAAAAGGCTGTCAGTGCTATTAACATTTCACCAAAGCAGAAATGCACACCACCAGTGATATTTTTTTAATGGTTTGTATTGTGCCAAGTCAATGATAAAATCAAGGGTGAGTAATAACAATAGAATGCAGCTGGGGGAGCTGAAGACTTATTATGTAGACGCATTATTATATCTTTTTATGTGACAACACTGAAGAAATGACACTTTGCTACAATGTAAAGTAGTGAGTGTACAGCTTGTATAAATTTGCTGTCCCCTCAAAATAACACACAGCCATTAATGTCTAAACCGCTGGCAACAAAAGTGAGTACACCCCTAAGTGAAAATGTCCAATTTGGGCCCAAAGTGTCAATATTTTGTGTGGCCACCATTATTTTCCAGCACTGCCTTAACCCTCTTGGGCATCACGTTCACCAGAACTTCACAGGTTGCCTCTGGAGTCCTCTTCCGCTCCTCCATGGCGACATGACGGAGCTGGTGGAAGTTAGAGACCTTTCGCTTCTCCACCTTCTGTTTGAGGATGCCCCACAGATGCTCAAGGTCTGGAGCAGGGGCGGACTGAAACTCATGGGGCCCCCGGGCAATAGGGGATCATGGGGCCCCTGTGTCCTTGCCCAAACTCAAAAAAGCCTATGAAAAAGATACCAGGGGCATCTCATGGGGCCCCCTACTGACCCCGGGCCCTTGGGCAGTGCCCGAGTTTCCAAATGGTCAGTCCACCCCTGGTCTGGAGACATACTTGGCCAGTCCATCAACTTTACCTTCAGCTTCTTTAGCAAGGCAGTGGTCATCTTGGAGGTGTGTTTGGGGTCGATACCATGTTTGAATACTGCCATGCGGCCCAGTCTCCGAAGGGAGGGGATCATGCTCTGCTTTAGTATGTCACAGTACATGTTGGCATTCATGGTTACCTCAATGAACTGTAGCTCCCCAGTCCTGGCAACACTCATGCAGTCCCAGACCATGACACTCCCACCACCATGCTTGACTGTAGGCAAGACACACTTGTCTTTGTACTCCTCATCTGGTTGCTGCCACACGCTTGACACCATCTGAACCAAATATATTTATCTTGGTCTCATCAGACCACAGGACATGGTTCCAGTAATCCATGTCCTTAGTCTACTTGTCTTCAGCAAACTGTTTGCAGGTTTTCTTGTGCATCATCTTTAGAAGAGGCTTCCTTCTGGGACGACAGCAATGCAGGCCAATTTGATGCAGTGTACGGCGTATGGTCTGAGAACTGACAGGCTGACCCCCACCACCACCCCTTCAACCTCTGCAGCAATGTTGGCAGCACTCATATGTCTATTTCTCAAAGACAACCTCTGGATATGACGCTGAGCACGTGCACTCAACCTCTGGTCAACCATGGCGAGGCCTGTTCTGAGTGGAACCTGTCCTGTTAAACCGCTGTATGGTGTTGGCCACCGTTCTGCAGCTCAGTTTCCGGGTCTTGGCAATCTTCTTATAGCATTAGCCATCTTTCTGTAGAGCAAGAATTCTTTTTTTCAGATCCTCAAGAGAGTTCTTTGCCATGAGGTGCCATGTTGAAATTCCAGTGACCATTGTGTGTGAGGGAGTGAGAGCGATAACACCAAATTTAACACACCTGCTCCCCATTCATACCTGAGACCTTGTAACACTGAGTCACATGACATCGGGGAGGGAATTGAGCCCAATTTGGACCTTTTCACTTAGGGGTGTACTCACTTTTGTTGCCAGCGGTTCAGACAAAATACTCCACTTAACTGTATTTTAAAATTTGCCCCTTACTGTTTGGTGTATATTGTATTCCAGACTGAATGTTCATTGAATTTTTATATATTAACTCTTTTTCTGATTTTTTTTAAATTTTTTATTCACAGAATCCTTTCGCCCTAAACCCCCTAATCGCCGGTCCCAGTCGGATCTGAAAAAAGTACGCTTAAAGCTTTCTCTTCAGGAGAAGCTATTCAGCTATTACAAGAAACATGTTGCTATTCAACCTGCAGAGCAGAGCTGTGCAAAGCAAGCTGCGATAGACATCTGTGCTGAACTGCGCAACTTTATCCACAGCAAGTTTCCAGACATGCCATTGAAAGAAATGCACCTTAGCGGAAGCCTGTATGATGATCTGCAGGTACTTTTCTTGAATTTGCTTAGTTTCCTTTATGCAGTCAACATAGTTAATTGCCATCAATGGTTTTTGGAAACCATGTTAACCTTTTAGATTTTAAAGCATACAAGTTCGGTTAACCAATTTCGCATTAAAGCAAATTGACTGTGTTTAAACGTCTAAGCACAGAATAGATATTTAAAGTGGAAGACAACTCAAAACCTAACTAAGCGTAAATCTACTCCCACTCCCATTTTAAGCCTATATTTACCTATTCTAAAGTTGCCCGAGTCCCGTCGCATGACTGGCTTCCAGTGCTGGCTTTAGTGTACAAGAGGGGCAACCAACAGTGCATGCCCAGAGAACGCCTATTGCCCAGGCTCTGCAGCCATTGTCAGCGATCTATCCTCTACACTGAAGCTGGCGCTAGAGAGATCATGTGACTGGACCGGAACTTCCTTTTACAAGGTTAATAGAATATGCTTAGAATGGGGGTGCTAGTGGATTTAGGCTTAGGTAGTTTTGACTTGCCTTCCGCATTTAATTGTTCCTCCCTGCTTTTTTTCATAAAAATATTCTGTTGTGCTCTTGCAGCTGCTTTAAGTAACAATCTGTCCTTGGGACATTAGTAGGTTCACCTCATCCCATGTCAGGTTTTACTATAAACTTGCATTAATGGGCTAAGAGCATTTAAACCTTAGTCATTTCTATTGGTTTGTAGGTGCAAGATGATGCCATTGAATTAAATTGATTGTAAAAGACAAATATAAAAAGCCAGTAAATAAAAACATTAGCTTGAAAGCTAAATTTAAAAAAATAAATAATTTAGACCATTTAAAAATGGTTGTAAACAATATTTTTTTTAAATAATAAAAAAATGTATATTTACCTGCTCTGTGGAATGGTATTGCACAGACAGCCCCCGAACCCTCTTTTTCTGGTGTCCTCCGCCAGTGCTTTCGCATCCTCCTCTTCTCTGTGCTCCACCATAGGAAGCTGCTTCCTATGGTGCCGCACCTCTGAGCTCGCTCGGCTGTGTGTGTGTGTGTCTATAGACAGACACCCACAGTGCAGCTCAGCTCCACCACCGCTCCCTCCTTATAGGATTTGACTCCTGCTGCTGCATCCATGTCCTTCTAAGAGAGAGCTACTGTAGATAGGACTCAAATAAGTATTTAGGGAGGTGGGTGGGGGGGAGCGTGCGATACAACAGCGGGGACATTTTTTATCCTAATGCAGGGAAGGCATACAAAAAATTAATTGCCTTTGGAACCACTTTAAATGTGGTTCTGTAACCACCCATTCCCTGTTAAGGTTTTCTATGCCAAGATGGAGTCACACACGATAAATGTTCATCATGCTAATTTTTACTCTGTGCACATTTCTCTGCTCTCTGTATACTCTTTGCAGTTTGTCTCCTTTTAACATGGTACTATTTTCCACAAATGCATAGTTTCAGTTCCACATCCAGTCTCCCTTAATGTGACGCCAAAATGAGTGCATGCTCAGTAGCATGCAGGATGCATTCCCCACAAAATGGCACCATTGCTATGCTTGCCAGCTAGGCAATTCCTGTTGACTTCCAAAAGCTAGCGCTGTTACTGCTCATTCAAAGTAACAATTTCTAGGCTGATCAACTTGAAAGTGACGCTGCTGATGGGAGAGACTGCTGAAGAGGTGCAGCTAGGTGGTGGGAGACATGGAAGAATGCTTGAGAAACAGTTAGGTGAGGGGGATGGGGAAGAATGTTGAGAAAGAAAAGGGAGTGAGATGGATGGGGAAAAGTGTTGGCGAGACAAAGGTAGGTGTTGGAGGACAGGGCAGAATTCTGAAGTGGAAAAATATAGGTGAAGGAGCATGGGAAAGGATGCTGGAGAAAGAAAGGTGAGTTGGGGCAGAGAATACGTGTGGGGAATTGGGGACAATGCCTCCTGTCCCCCCCCACATACAGCTGATGAGTAAGAGGGGGGGCCAGCAGTGAGCCAGAGAATGTAGAGCAGGCACTGCACTCACACACTCTTCTGACCTGACATGCATTCCTGCATTGGCCGCTGAGCTGACCTACACTTCTGCATGGATGGTGTTTGCACCCACCGTCACTACGCTAACGTGCACTTTTGAACCTACTGCCACTTCACCTGCTAACACACACTTTTACTCCACTTTTCACATGTAGTGCCAGCACTATTGTGCAGTTCTGACGCCACTGCCATTTAGCTCATATGCACTTTTGCACTAATCCACACTTTGCTCCCTCTGCCACTGAAACATGCTTCCTGATTCATCCTGTTAACACTTTTTCTATTTCTGTATCACTATTTGTACACGTCAACATTATTCAAATGTTTATGTTTTCACTATGCCTATTCAGCAATTATACATAAAGTTGATCCATGAATGTTCGATATCCTCTTGGGGATCAGGAAGGAATTTTTTTTCCCCTGCTGGTGAAAATTGGATAGTAAAATGGAAAGAACAGAGAGCACACAACTGCCCTAGTGTAACTCCATTTAATTGTAATTAAAAGACTTAAAAATGATTGCACTCACATGGTACAACAATAATAAAGCACTCTCAATGTGGTAATAGTCCTCATTTTCCTCCTATCGTCGTCAGCATCACTGTAGTAATCAGCTGGTGGCTGAGCTTCTCCTCTGATGACCGGAACGGCCTAACAGAGCGTACCGCTGCTACTGCGCATGCTCTTGGGCCAGCCGGCTCATGCTCGATGGATACCTCTCACAGCTACTGAAGGGGAAAGAGAAGGATGTGGTTGCTATGACGACATGTTTCAGTGGCGTGGCCACCTTTGTCAAGTCATGGCCACCTGCGGCCCCAATGCCCTTTTATAAAAGGTCCTTTTCGGACCTCCTCCAGGTCTTTAAAGCGTTACAGTGGGACAACAGCAATCTAATACTATTGGGAAATGTTTAAATATATACACACACATATACATGCATGCATACATATACTGTTAGGTCCATATATATTTTGACACCGGCACAATTTTAATTTTTTTCAGGTATTTACAAAAGCATATTCAAGCTATAGTTATATAATGGATATGGGCTCAAAGTGCACACTCTCAGGTTCAATTTGAGGGTATGTACATCCAAATTGGAGGAAGGTTTAGGAATTACAGCTCTTAATAGTAGCCATCCCCTCTTTTTCAAGGGACCAAAAGTAATTGGACATTTGAATCAAAAGCTGTTTCATGGCTAGGAGTGGGCTACTCCTTCGTTACTTGTTCATCAATTAAGCAGGTAAAAAGTCTGAAGTTGATTCTAAGTGTGTTATTTGCATTTGGAATCTATTGCTGTGAACCTACATCACGCGTTCAAAGTTGCTGTCCATCAGAGAGGTAGCAGCAACATTAGGAGTGGCCAAATCAACAGTTTGGTACATTCTGAGGAAAGAGGAACGCACTGGTGAGCTCAGCAACATAAAAAGGCATGGACGTCCATGGAAGACAACAGTGGTGTATGATCGCATGATCCTTTCTATAGTAAAGAAAACCCCATTCACAACATCCCGACAAGTGAAAAACACTCTCCAGGAGTTGGGCGTATCATTGTTAAAGTCTACAATCAAGAGAAGACTTCACGAGAGCAAATTCAGAGGGTTCGTTCACCACAAGGTGCAAACAATTCACAAGCCTGAGGAATAGAAAAGCCAGATTAGACTTTGCCAAAAAACATATAAAAAGGCCAGACCAGTTCTGGAAAAGCATTCTTTGGACAGATACAACTAAGATTAATCTGTACCAGAATGACAGGAAGAAAAAAGTGTCGAGATGGCTTGGAACAGCTCATGAACCAAAATGCACGTCATCTGTAAAACATGGTGGAGGCAGTGTGATGGCATGGGCATGCATGGCTTCCAGTGGCACTAGGTCATTGGTGTTTATTGATGATGTGACAGAAGACAGAAGCAGCCGGATCAATTCTGCAGTATTTAGAGATATACTGTCAGCCCAGATTCAGCCAAATGCAGCAAAGTTGATTGGACGGCTGTTCACAGTACAGGTGGAAAATGCTCCAAAACACACTGCAAAAGCAAACCAGGAGCTTTTGAAGGGTAAGAAGTGGAATATTCTGCAATGGCCGAGTCAATCACCTGATCTCAACCCAATTGAGCATGCATTTCACTTGCTGAAGGCAAAACTAAAGGCAGAAAGACCCACAAACAAAGAACAACGGAAGACAGCTGCAGTTAGAGCCTGGCAAAGCCTTAGAAAGGAGGAAACCCAGTCTTTGGTAATGTTCATGGGTTCCAGACTTCAGGCAGTCATTGCCAGTAAAGGATTCTCAACAAAATATTAAAAATGAACATTTTATTTAGGATTATATTCAATTGTCCAGTTACTTTTGATCCCTTGAAAAAGATGGATGGCTAATATTAAGAGTTGTAATTACCGTATTTTTCGCTCCATAAGACACACCTGACATAAGACGCACTTAGGTTTTAGAGGAGAAAAACAAGAAAAAAAATATTCTGAACCATTGGACTGCAGACATAGTACAGGAAGTGACCAGACACTGCGGACACAGTACAAGAGATGACCAAAGACTGCGGACACAGTACAGGAGAAGGACAAGCGACTGCGGACACAGTACAGGAGAAGGACCAGAGACTGCGGACACAGTACAGGAGAAGGACCAGAGACTGCGGACACAGTACAGGAGATGGACCAGAGACTGCGGACACAGTACGGGAGATGGACCAGAGACTGCGGACACAGTACGGGAGATGGACCAGAGACTGCGGACACAGTACGGGAGATGGACCAGAGACTGCGGACACAGTACGGGAGATGGACCAGAGACTGCGAACACAGTACGGGAGATGACCAGAGACTGCAGACAGTACAGGGGTGACCAGACCAGAGACTGCGGGACAGAGTACGGGAGGTGACCAGAGACTGCGGACAGAGTACGGGAGGTGACCAGAGACTGCGGACAGAGTACGACTGCGGACAGAGTACGGGAGGTGACCAGAGACTGCGGACAGAGTACGGAGGTGAC